TCGAACTGGTGAATTAATGGTTTCTAATCGTTATACAAGTTTTATGATGTTAGATAAACCTAGTTAGAACAGTTTGTATAATTAAATGTAGTTACTTTTATTTTTGACCTTTAAAGTAGTTTGCTTTGACCAGAAGAGAACTGTACATGCACCTTCATATACTTTAAAACCAAGAGTACTCTCCGTGTACTTTAAAACCAAGAGAACTGTCTTTGTACCATAAAACCAAAGGAACTGTTCATATACTTTAAAACCAGGAGAACTGTTCATGTACCTTAAAACTAAGAGAGCTATTCATGTGCCTTCTAACCACGGGAACTGTTCATGTACCTTCTAACCACGGGAACTGTTCATGTACCTTCTAACCACGAGAACTGTCCAATTACCTTCTAACCAGGAGAACTGACCATGTACCTTCTAACCACGAGAACTGTTCATGTACCTTCTAACCACGAGAACTGTCCAATTACCTTCTAACCAGGAGAACTGACCATGTACCTTCTAACAACGAGAACTGTTCATGTGCTTGAAACCAAGGAAACTGTCCATGTACTTTAAAACCAAGAGAATTATTCATGTATCTTCGTTCTAAGATAATTGTTCGTGTACGGTATGACCAAGAAAACTAACTTTGATGTACCTGAAAAGTAGCAAAGCACAGACGAAAGCTATAAATATTAACAAAATAATAATGTGTAATTGTTCTCAAGTTATAGCCATGGTAAAAAAACTCGTGTTCTGTGACTGTAGTGACCAACTGTAGTAATAAAACAACTTTCGAAACAAAGTAAAAACAGAAACAATATATGCCGTTAATAGTTGTTTTAAGTACACATTTTTCTTTCGTTTTTCTTTACACGGATAATCTTGTTATTAGCTATTATGTTACGTCTTTCTTGCATTTTTGTATATCAAAGCTATAAAATTTTAATGAAGAAAAAAATGTTTATGTATCTATCTTTCTCTCGTAATGAAGATCTCTGCTCTTTATAAGTGAAACCTTATTTTTAAATACATTATTTATCTTCATCCTTTTTTTATTGCCCTCTAGAGGTACAGCGGTATGTCTTCGGACTTACAACTCTAGACACCGGATTTCGATAACCGTGGTGGGCAGAGCACAGATAGCCCATTGTGTAACTTTGTGCTTAATTACAAACAAACAGCCTCTTAGTGGCACAGCGGTATGTCTGCGGACTTACAACGCTAGAAACTGGGTTTCAATACCCGTGGTGGGCAAAGCACAGATAGTCCATTGTGTAGCTTCGTGCTGACCTTCAAACAAACAAAGCTTTTTTTTATTTTGATTTTGTTGAATTATTTTAACACTATAGTAATAAGTCTGATTACTGGAAACTCTAAGCATTACAGCAACCAGGTTTTGTATAGGTAATAAAAGTGATTTACTTTACATATATAATTACAACTTTAAATTTCTTTGATTGAAGAAAAGCATGATTGATTGGTAAGACTTCAGTATTTCATTTTGAGCATGAAATATGTTTATTCTACTTAGGTATGGCTGACGTGGTTAAATATCATTGATTGATGTACTTGTCATGTTCAGTTGGTACAGCCTGTCGCATAGCAAAAAGAGTGTAAAACTGCCCGTCCTGAAGCACTATTGGTCATTTAAAGCCGTGTTTATCCATATTTTCACACCACACCTACAATAATTACGTTTTGTTTGCATCAGTATTAACAGATATAGACCACGACTGTTGACAACAGTGTTTAACATTAAAAACACATTCCAAGTAGTGCGTTAAAAACTTACCAACACACGTAAATAAGCATGATGTGAATTTCCAAAAGCCTTATACATAACTATGAATCAATGCCAAACATGATGTCTCGTTAATTCCCAGCCTTTAATCTCCTAATCACAAGGCCTGGTGGTTAGGGCGTTCGACTCGTAGGCTGTGGGTCGCAGAATCGAAACCTGGCACCGAACATGCTCATCCTTTCAGCCGTGGTGGCGTTATAATGTGAAGATCAATCTCTCTATTTGTTGGTAAAATAGTAGTCCAAGAGATGGCGATGGATGTTAATGGCCGGTTGCCTCCTTCTGATCAGCAATTCATTAGTAGCTTTGCCATAAACAAAACAAAGAAAGCTAATGAAAATGCCACCTGGAAAAACCTTTGCTTTTTTGCAGCTCTCAGATTTTTGCGTCTATAAAGAATGTTATATCAAATTATTTAATGTTCTATCTAATTTAAAAGATGGAAATAAATATATATATATATATATAGTTCTCTCTCTCTAAGGTAATAAAACATACACAGTTCATAAATTCTCTGCCAAAATAGTTTGAATTAAAAACACAATAAAACATTATGATTTCACTTTTTGTAACTTAAAAAATTGTAACTCCACAAAAAAAAGAACCACAGGTAATCACGATTTGACAAATGTGTAACAAACAGAAATTAACTACAAGTAAAAACAATTAAATACTTCTGTCACAAACTCTCAAAATGAACTATAGACTAACAAGATTTTGTACTTTGCAACAAGATCATAACAACGAACTACAGGTAAACACAATTAAATACTTCTGTCACAAACTCTCAAAATGAACTATAGACAAACAAGATTTTGTACTTTGCAACAATATCATAACAACGAACTACAGGTAAACACAATTAAATACTTCTGTCACAAACTCTCAAAATGAACTATAGACTTACAAGATTTTGTACTTTGCAACAAGATCATAACAACGAACTGCAAATAAATACAAATTAACGCTTCTGTTACATACTCTCAAACGAAGTACAGTTAAACGTAGTGATCTACAACAAACTGTAACTTCACAGTTCCGTAACAAATTCACAGAATGGTTTTAAAGTGTTGTAATTTTTTTTTCGTGGATTCGAACTAGATACCTCAGGCGAGTACATTACCACCTAAACTAAGGGGGGTTAACTCGCCATTACCACAAAACTAAGGGGGGTTAACTCGCCATTACCACAAAAACTAAGGGGTTAACGCGCTAAAAGTTGTTAGTAAGGCCTTTTTAATAATTAACTACCACATTCTTCACATACAAGGCCACAGGTTAGGCACCAGTTTTTCATAATTACAATTAAAACCCGTGACCCCAAGATTTAAAACCTCATGCTTTACACATATGGTTAGCCGGGCTAACTCACGAACGCTTGCTATTAATACACATTTCAACAATTCGAATTACCACAACAGTTGTGTAAACTCACACAATGTACAACTATTAAATTGTGGTTTTCTATAGTTTGTGGTTTCCTGTAATTCACTGTGTGAGTTCGTTAAACTGTTAAATCGTGATTTCCTGTAGTTCACTGTTTTTGTTACAGAACTGTTAAAACTGTAACAAAAACAGTGATTATTAGTGTTATTACTGTGTTCGGTGATAAAACAGGACAAATAGTACGACAATACTATGTTTGCTCCTAAAGTCACAAGTAAAAATATGAAAATAGTACACAGGTTATCTTCTCGTTTATATTACTACGTCAGTAATAAAGTTAGCAAGGACCGCATCACGACAGTTTCGGGCAAATTAAACTCCAACTTATTCTTATTGTGTCTGTGTGTGTTTGCTTTAGAGCAAAGCCACATTGAGCTATCTGCTATGTCCACCGCGGGGAATAGAAACCCGGATTTTAACGTTCTAAATCCATAGACTTACTACTGTTCCACCGGGGGACTCTTGTTGTGTTACTTGTAAAAAAAGAAAAGGCGGAAGTTTTGGTTAAAATGCCACCTTTTGTGAGAATAACTATTTTCTACTGACGTCCTGCACAACATTTTTACAGAAATAAATATGAAAAAATAGCGTAAATCACCCAGTTTCACGTAAATTATTCTGTTGCGAAATGATGAGGTTTGCAATAAAGATTGGATATATTTGGTTTAATTTACAACGCCCCGATTGTGGGAAAGCGTAAAACGTGGCAGTAGCTAGTGTATTAATTAAAACAAGCTAGTATATTAAGTGAATTACTAAAACCTCATTAAGTATATCCACAAATAATGTGGCACAAATACTGTTCATTTCACATGCGTACTATACTTGACTGATAGAACAGACCTGCCAATTTAAACTTCAAAAAAGTTGTTTTGGTTTTAATAAAAAAAAAATTACATAATTCAGCTACGCAGATTTCGAAAATAATGTTCATTATTTTTTATCACGTATGGATTTTTTACAAATCGGAAATAAAAAAAAACTTACTTAAATCAAATTATTATTTCGTTTACCATATTGAACATTTTTTTATTATTATGTTTGTTAACAAAAATATAAACAAGCTGAAGAAAAGAGAA